TAGATATGAATAAACTTGAGGAAATGTACATTGTTCGAGAGGCTGAATGACCAACATAAATAGGGAGTTCCCCCGAGGGAACTAAGGAATACAAACACCAGATAAGGCCACTAAAAGCCAGTAAAAACATACTGAAACCTTTAGCTAACCTATCTAGGACAAATGCAAAAAGAATAACTAGCCACTGAACCAAAGAACCTAGCTAGGGAGCTAACAGGAGAAAGGAGAGACCAGAAGATGAAAATAGATGAAGGGTAGCACAGTCAGCAGTCAAAATATAAACACAACATAGAAATGTGCCAAAACAATAACATAAGGTAAGCCAAAACATCATCATGAGTTGTGAACTGTAGAAAACTCCTGCCATTCAAGAAGAGCAGCTTTGATGACCTCCTTTTCTGGCAGCAAAATTTTCTTGAAGAGCCACATGTTTCTAGTTTTCCAGAGCCACCACAAAATGTATGTGGTGAGCTCAATTCTATCAACAGCAACCTGGCTTTTGTTTAAGCAGACATCTTTCCACCAATGTTTGAAGCAAAGGGTCCCAGGGTTGGTATTATTCCAGATTAATGGTGTCAGTTTCTAAGTTGTTTGAGCTTTATAGCAGTGAAAGAAGATGTGCTCAACAGTTTCCTCAGAATCACCACAGACAGGGCAGATAGTGTCCACAAGCATACCTCTTTTGGCCATATTAGTGCACCACAAAGTTTCTTTAGTTATCTTTGCAATTTTTTTAATAAATAATAATTAAAATTTGATGCATTCAATTTGGATGTACATCAACATTTCCTTCATATTACAAATTCATTTTCTGTTGACCGGTGGCGTTTAGCAGACTCCGACCAGCCTCCATGGAGCTAGTCGGGACCGAGGTTTGGCTCTCTCTCCCCTCTTTTAGCCGATTTCTTGAGTTTGGTGGTTCGGGTTGGACGGCGATTTAACCGTGGGACGTTGGTGGTTGAAATTGGTGGGTGGATTTCATGTTAGTGGTGGTTGGGTGCTTGAGCGGTCAGGCTGGAGGGTTCAGTCGGTGGAGGGTTATAGCTCCAGGGGCGGTCGTCTAGGAGAAGATTTTAGTTGACTAGTGCGGTTCCAGCTAGTCGTGGCTACACTGAAGTTCTAGAGCAATGTTCGAGCTGGGAGTCCTATCTGAGTGGGCGATTGTCACTGGGTGTCAGGTCGTGGTGTGCTGCGGTTTGCTCTTCTGTTGAGAGGAGGGTGTTATTCTATTTAATTGTTGTAGTGTTGTGTTGTTGTGTTTTTTTTATTGTTTTGCAGGTTGTTCTCCTCTTGTAGGAAATAGATTCTCCCTTTTTGGGAGCTTTAGTTTATTTAGTCTGAGTGTGTTAGTGGGTGCGTTTATTAGTCTCTCTAGGTTCTCGTCGTCGGGTAGTCTCCTATTAGATTCAGTTAAATAGTTGTTTGGCTTATTCTAGTTGACTAGTTTTATCTGTATTTTTATTATCTATAAAATTACATCTTTTCGATTAAAAAAAAAAACATTTATGTTGTTTTGCAAGTTATATCATTTTCTAATGAAATTATGTATAATTTTAAAAATACTATTACACTGACACGGCTTTATATAAATAAAAACAACCGGATAATTGAATGAGAATATTAGTAGGATGAGACCAAAAATGAAATAACTGTTGATTAATTAAATGTCCGTGTAATAATATATTAATATATGAATATATATTTTAGCAAAAATTATTATAATTCTTCTAGAAAGCTGAATGGTTATAATTACATTAATAAACATATATATTTAAAAGAAAATGATTAACAGTTAACTACAACTCATGTAAATCCAGATAAAAAATTATGATCGCTCACTAGTTAATTAAATTTGAAAATATTTATCAAATATCAACTATTTTCTTCTGCATGCCATGCCACATGATATGTTCAGAAATATGCAAGGCCTTCGAACAAACTATCCTTTCAACCATTTGAAGACTTATGAATATATGCAATTATGCAAACACTAAACAGAATAAAACATAATTATTATATGGAAATTTATATGAAAAGTAAGGAAGATGTGCTTCCTTTTTCCCTTATCCTTTTTTTTTTTTAATATATCTTTTTCTCTGAGCATGCTGATTATATGGGGAACCTATCTCACAGTTGAATTATTGGTCCTTTATGATTATTTTATCTAAGATAAGGTTTTCTTACACCATCTTCTACTATACTCTATACTAGAGTAGAAGATGTCAAAATTTAACTTTCATCTCTAATAGTTTGTCCTACATTTTTTATTTTACATGAAATATATTAATATAAAATAAAATTTAAATACAACTAAAAAATTAATACTTAAATTTATTTAACAAAATAAATAATTTTATTGATATATATTTATCAAAATAGTATTTAGAAACAAAATCAATAACAAATTAAAATTTGAAGAAAAAAAATGTAGCACGGTGGATAGAATCGCACTACATGTAACGCAATTAATACTGTTCACATTTTCAGAATAGTGCAAAAATGTAGCGTAATATTTGAACAAATTTTTTGCACTACTCTAGAGTAAAGTAGCATTGCAGCGAAGAACTGGAGAAACTCTTAACGTGCATCAAACTTCCACCCTTTTTCTTCTTCAGTTTTATCAAAATACAATTTTCAAAAACAAAAGTGATTAATATTTTTTCAGTAAGTTATTTACTCACACATTTATATTTATAATTATTTTATTATTTTTACATCACATTATTATTATTTTTATTTATTTAAGTTACTATATTAAGTCAATCTTGATTACTTAGACGCAAAGGCACGTAGAACTAGAAAGATGAAAGATGTGATGGCCTCATGGCCAATATTAAAACGATCAATTGACTAAACGACTTAAATATTTTGATATTTTGAAATTCAGGCTACTTTTAGGCATGCTAACACTTAAGTAATCATGCTATTTTATCAATATGTTCATAACTTCATACAAAAATGACAACTCTAAAAAAGAATAGATACAAAAATGATATTTCATAACATAAATATTTGTTTTTCAATAAAACTATGACGGATCAATACACCTAACAATTCTACGGACTTCCACAAAAATTTGTGTTTCAAAATAGTCTCAAGTGTCAAGTCCAGCCTTATCATTTACGTAACGCCTTTTGAATTTGCATGTCTTAAAATTTCTTTTGCTATAGCTATATAAA